TCAGGGCAAGTAGTTTTTTGTCATCTGCAAATATTTTACAGGTTTACTTAATTCTATACGACAGGTCATTTATAAAGACCACAAAGAGCATTGTTCCCAATAGTGACCCTTGAGGAAATCTATTAGAAACCGGCGCCCAGTCCAATACTGCTTCACCAATGATTACTTTTTGTTTACGGTTGCTAAGAAAGGATTTCACTTATTTTAGAATTTTACAATTGATCCCATATCGTTCTAGTTTCAGGATAAGACTCATATGGTGAACCTTGTTAATGGCTTTGGTAAAGTCAAGGAAGAGCAAATTTGCAGACAATCGATCAGCTGATGCTTTTGATATATAGTCCATAGTTTATATGTATATATATATATATATATATATATATATATATATATATATATATATATATATATATATATATATATATATAAACTATTTAATATATGCATATAATAAATTTATTGATGTATTTTAGAACTTTTTTTTCAACATTTTTAATTCTTAATATACAACTATTCTTAATTATGAGTAACAAAGATCTTATCATACCTTATTAAATTTATTATTTATATATATACACTAGGGTATATCATACTAGAGCCAAAAAAATACTAGGGTATATCATACTAGAGCCAAAAATTAAATTTTTAGAATTTTGACTAACACGCTTGGATTCCTATGTATTTGGGTATAGGGAATTCAAATATAATAATATTTTTACAAAATATTGATGTCTAGCTACCGGGAAACGGGTTTTAAAATTAGGTTTTTTTTTTCAAAAATTAGTCTATTTTAACTAAAGCTTAATTTTGGAACGGTTTTAGTCAATTAATACTAAAAATTACAATTATATTGGGTAAAAAGTAAACTATGTGAAATAAAACAGATATTATTATTTAACTTCCAGGATTCTAGATCCAGAGAGCGTAAAAAGGGCTACGGCTCCCCCCCCCCTTTTTTTTTTTTTTTTTTTTCAATATTTGATAGTTTTATTATGATTATAAGATCAAGGTATATTACAATTATTATTATTATTATATATATATATATATATATATATATATATATATATATATATATATATATATATATATAATATATATATATATATATATATATATATATATATATTCCCACACACTGGATTCTCCCTCAAACTTACTCAAAATACCCGTTTAAATTAAAAATCTTGCTGTTGTTTTTTTGCTACAAATTTTCTTTTCAGCCCCCTAACATTCTTTTAAGATCAACATAAAAAACAAGAATTTTTCAAACATTTAATGTTATGCACAACAAAGTTTAAATAAAATCAAAAAATACCAAATTAGTAATTAAATAAGCTACTGAAAGTCTTTTTTTGACTTAAACAAAGGCATTAGTTCACGATTTCGCAATTGTGTTCTTATAAAACCATCTCTTTTATCCCAACCACAGACTGACTCAGCTGCTTCTATGACTAATTTGACTGCTCTCTCGCAACTTTGAGTATGTAATGAGTATGGAGGTAGCTGCAGGGGAGAAACTATCAATGCATTGAGTTGGACTAACGACATGTTTGTCCAACTCAAGTGTAGTGAAAATTGGTTCAGTAACAACCTCTTTTTTCCAATCAATAAGTTCTTTAATGTCACATGCATCAAGGTTTATTGTTTGTGGAACTTTAAAAGGTCTAACATCATTTGAGCCCAACTCACTTCCCTTCCTAACGGCCAATATTGTGTCGACTGCAAATAACCTTTTTTCTGAGTTATCAGAACAGAGAAGCGAGACAAGTATATTCTCAGGGTGAGCCCACCAAGATTCATTTCTGAGATAAAGTTTAGATGCTTCTTTAATCCTATCATCTTGCTTCTGCCAAAGTCGAAACAGCTTTAAAAGATGACAAGAACCGTATTTAATGTCATGCTTTACTTTTATCTCAAAGAACATTGGAAGATAAACCTGAGTCACCCAAGTTGCAAGCAGTCTTAAGATCTCTGCATTGACAGGTTCAAGATCATGCTTACTCATATAGAGAAGCAAGCATCTCATGCCACAAGTAAGCCATCGACTGTTAGACAATCTACCACATTTAAGAGCTTCTACTTCAGGATCAAGCTTTCCTTTCAGAATTGCATTCAAGTACTTCCATGCAACTAAACTGTCAGTGCTCATCTGCTTTAAGAAATCTTCACTGATATTAACAAGAGGCTCCAGAAGCAAAATAGGAGTAAATTGAGTAATTCTTTCAAGATTATCAACTTTGGAAAATAGTTTACCTACTGCTCCACACCATCCTTTATCTGAAGAAGTTGGTCCATCAAGTTTTTCAACAATATGACAGAATGGAAGCTCATTAATGTGAAGCCAGCAAAAAGATCTAAAAAGTTTTCGATTGAGAAGTTCTTCCACAAAATGAATCATTCCACCTTTCCATCCAGACATTTCATTTGTAGTATCACTGCCAATTAATTGGAGATTAAGATCTTTACCTCTTTCCATTAACCAGTTGAATAATCCAATAGCACATTGCTTGGCTGGTTTAGATGTTTCTGACTTAGGCTTTGGTGTATAATGAGTAAGGTAACGACCTCTAGGTTCTTCTGTCACAGTTATATGATTTTCTTTGATAATTTTTTTTCTGAAGGTGCCTGTGGTTTTATCATGGATAAGAATTAAAGTTTTGTCTTTTCTACCATCAACAAAAATTCCAGTGATTATATTTCTTTCACAGTCGAAATTTTCTTCTATTCTGGAATACTTCATAGCACGCTCTTTGGCACGAAAAACTTTCATGCTATCACATATAAGATTTTTTTTATCTTCAACAAGTTTCCCTGCTTTCATAATATCTTTCAGTAGACCATTAATGGTTGCAGCAGTAGCAGTCGATGATACACCAAATCTAACAGAAGCAACGGCAGCATTACTAATATCAAGGTAGTTTTGCTTAACATAATTATCTTGCTTTTCTATGGTCGAGTCCTCTTTGCTATCACTGACTATATCACTATCACTAACTTTATCGATATCACTGATTTTTTCCCTATCACTGACTATCACATCATTTGAATTATTACGCATTTCTATTGTAACATCCACATTTTCAACATCAAATCTAACTGCCGGTGGATAAGTTGTCTCTAATGACTCTAACTTAGATTTTGAAGCTTCTTGTTGTCGTGCGAGTCTTGCTTGATCGATTGACTTGCGTGTTTTAACCTAAGTTTGGCAGTCTCTTTAA